CCATTTCGTCTGACGGAGAGACATTTCCCTTCGAAAATTTTGAATGCAGCAGATGCAATGCAATCAGAAGAAAATGTGTTGTGTTCAAGAAACACAAAAAAAGGAGGGATACCCCATATGAATGTAAGAAATGCGACATAGAACTGTGTGTTGATAATTGCTTTGAGATTTATCATACACAAATGAATTATTAACTTTAAAACTTTAACAGTGGTGAATAAATAGTATATATAAAATAAAAAAATGTTTGGATTCTTTTTAAAACAGACAAAGTAATAATAATTGTTTACTATGTGTACTATATTATAAAGTGTTAATACGCCGCCGACGAAGTCCATACTGCGCGAAAAAGTATTCAGTCCCCAGCGATCGCATCCATGGGCCGCATGCCGCAAACGCGAAGCGCTTCAACTTAGAACAGCTAGCAGTCAAAGGGTTAAAGCTACAACCGTCGAAGTGCCGCCTACTCCACAAGGAGGTAGCCTACTTAGGGCAAGTGATAAGCGACGATGGCCCCGGGAAAATTGCTGCCGTGAAGGATTTCCCTACTTGAAAAAACGAGGAGAACGTGCGAGAGTTTCTAAGCCTCGTCGGCTACTACCGTCGATTTATCGACAAGTTCTCTCAGATTGCGAAATCGTTAACAAGCTTATTATAGAGGGATATCGAATTTCATTAGAGACCAGGAACTACTACATTAAAGTTGATTAGTGATTACGAGTTTTTTCTTGAAATGGCACAAGAAATTAAATCAAAATATAGTAAAATTACTAAGAGATATATACAAGAAATGTCAGCGGGTTTAATGTCAGACGAGAACGTAAGAGGCGTGCTCACGACGGTCCGAGCACTTCAAAGGCGCCACTTGAAAAGAGCGATAAGGCAAATTTGTAGAAGAAAGATCGGTATGCGAACCTGGCACGCACTGTATAGTGAGATTTATAATCATAAATAAGCAAGTCTAAATCTGGAGGAAAAGCTAACTCAGCTCTAAAGCTGAACTCATTCTGGTTTGAAGCGTCGCCCGGTATAGATAGATCTAACGAGTGAGAAAATCGGAAAAGTGATTCTTCTCTTGGTAAATAAATTGTTTGGTAAAAGTTTTTTTGGTAAATATCATCTTGCGAGTTAGTGATAACAATTGGAAATTTTCAACCCATGTATTCATTCATATTTTTTATTAGAACAATGGCAAAACGTTCAAACACGAATGAGTCTCATGACACAAGTAATAGTGAAGATGAGCTCCAGATAGACGTTTATACAGATGATATGTTAGAAAGACTAACTGTAGAAGAAAACGATAGCAGTGATAGCAGTGATATCGTCCAAGCAACGAAGGCGACGCATAGATAGCGATAGCGATGAAAGTGATACGGAAGAAAACACACCGCAACAGGACAACGTATCGTCAAGTGAAAAGTGGGAAGACGTCACTGAATCAGGTGTTCCTCCAGCCATGATAAATTTTGACTTACATGATGAAATAACCGGACCACAACTACCAAATAATGTAAAAGAACCTATAGAATATTTTACTGAAGAATTACCAGACAGCATAATAAAAGAAACGAACAATTATACCAACGAAGAAATTAGAAAGAAACAACTTTCACGGGAATCAACATGGCACAAGTGGCACGATATTACTAAAGAAGAATTTTTAGCTTTCATCGCCGTTATCCTAAATGTGGGATTGATTCAATTGCCAAATATTCAAGAATACTGGTCTATCGCTTCCAATAGTAGAAGCTTTCTTTCTTTCCGGAAACATTCACTCAACACTTCAATCACACAGTGGTGAATAAATAGTATATATAAAATAAAAGGCCTGGAACTATTCTGGTATTCTCAGGACTTCAAGCCTGAAACATTCTTGGCAGTGAGAATAGCACTTCAAAAGTTGTTGAGCCACATAAATATGGATAGAGATCAAGTTCAGACGAATTCGAGTTTTCGTTGTTGAACGAGCAAATTATCTCTGTCCACGAAACGAACGAATCCAGTGGGCAAGATAGTGACGAAGTAAGAGCCGAAAAATTACAATTATAGATAGCGAAAGTGAAGCCGAAGGTGAAACTGCGGAAAATGCAGGCAGTTCAGAATGGGTACTGTGCAGAGAATAGGAAGAACTGCCGCCAAGTGTAGAATTTATATCCGGTGAAAAAGCCACAGGACCAAACATAACATCAAGTATAAAAGAACCAGTGGATTTTTTTAAACTGTTTTTTACCGATGAACTCGTCCAAAACATAGTGTCTGAAACGAATAAGTATGCGAAAAACAAATTAGAAGAGAAGACGCTATTGCCAAATTCGATATGACGAAGTTGGCGTGATGTGGAGAACGAAGAATTCTGGGCAATTATTGCCGTTGTAATAAATATGGGCACAATGCCGTTGGCCAATTTGCAAGAGTATTGGTCGAGAAATAGTGTCAGTT